GTTCGTGATTTGGCCAAACAAGGCCGCTTTTATTATATAACCCCTCTATCCTAATCGTTTTAACAATAATAACTATGTAGCAAATTGTTACCTGTATTAAATGTTATGGCCTTAGGGATAAAAATTATATATCAAATATTCAATAAGACTCATCATGCTAAAAATTATGATGCGACGAGTCAGCAAAAGTTATTATTTACCAACAATTTTGCACAAATTTCATTTGTGGGGTTGCAAAGAGGCCCCCATCGCTGGAAAATTTTTTCGTTTGGTCTGCGACTGTTTACTGCTTTACTTTTTTCGAATTCGTCTGTGCGACTCTGGGATCTAACCCTAGCTTGAATTGGGAATTTCCACAATCGAACATTAAGGGGGCCCTAGTGCTTGTGCATCATACCTGTACATGTATTACTAAACATATTAAACGGCTATTACAGTAGCGTATTCATTCGTGAGCGCTATTTTTACCAACAACTGTATAAATGTATATTCACTTACCCAAGAGCTCTCGTGTTGCTTTGGTCATGTTGACTGAAAAAAAAAGCATTCTCTTGCAGTAATTTTTAATTAAAAAAAAACTTTTTAAGGAGACAGTCCTTGGTCAACAATTTCATGGAGACTCATGTGCACCCTTGCTCGGAACGATGGAATATCTTTGGAAATCTTCATGCACTAGCTTCTTTAAACTTTATGGTGATAATTTTCACAATAACATCGCTATACATGGCTAGTGCATGCAATTACCAAAAAGCAATTAGCAAGCTTTGGATGCGGAATCCATTCATTGTTCAAACGCGCAGCTGTCTATAAAATTACTGGCTAAATAACCTGGGTTTAATTCGGGAATTGTCACAATCCAAAACAAAGTGCGTTTTAGTGTTTACTAATCGTATTGCCAACTAACTTAAACATATAATAGAAAATGTCTGCTTTTCTAAGGGTTCTATCTCTTTTTGAGCAGTATATCTAACCACCCACACTTACTTTTCATCTTCATCTGTGACTTGTTTAAGTGGTAAACCTAAAACTAACAACGGTTAACATCTAAAAGTCCACAGAAAGAACCGAGGATATCTACACACAAACCTAGTAGCTAAATTGGTTATATTCCTCGATGAATACATTTAACTTTTACATTAGACGAACATGAAGCGGCGACGTACTTAAGCAGTTACTTTGTCTGGAGTTTATAAGTAAGATAAGTGGCAAAAAATAATTCATGAGTAACAATGGTGGTACGTTTCATAATGTGCCCGGTCACCGAAAATCATCAATGCTAGCACACACAGTCTGGTTACTTTACTCTAACTGTTTACCTAAAATCTTGAAACAGTTACGACCCAGCGAATTCCTTATCAAAATGAACAAGACTTAGTTTTACCATCCCTGCATCAGTTGAATTTTTCCACAAGTTTTTTTCTATATACACGTGCTGTACTAGTATTTTCTGCAGCAGGCATTCACTTTATTTTGAAATCATTGGAACTATTTACCAGAAACGTCAAATCTTCATCTATGAAACATTTTTCTTTACGTCACTTTTGGTGTGAACGCTAGTAGCTTTATTTGTCACATTTTTTACAATAAACATAGCCTATACCATTGAAATTATTTACCTTTAACGTAATATACAGACTTGATATTTAATATGGAATGTTTCAGTTTCTAAAATATCCGTTAAAGGGATAACAACTGTTCGTTTAGGCCAAAAAAATTAATTTTCCTGGAGTAAACAACAATTTTCTCATACTTACCAATGGTTAATGAATCCATTTCTACATTCAAAGTTAGTCACTTTTTTTTCTAATTTTTTTGTTACAATCTCTTTAGAGATTACTACAGAGTCTGCCATCTATGGAGGTCACATCGTCCGATGACCAGCTCAGATATCAGAATAATAGCTATAACTGCCGTTTTTGTGGTAAAACAGAATATATTATAATTCAATGGGTTGTTTACAATGTTTTATTGTGAAATATAGATCTCATACGAACAGTTATTATCACTTTCACTAAAAATGCGTTCTTATTTAAAAAAATCTCTGATCTCATTTAAGATATATGTATGAAGAAGTGCGTAGTCGGGCGTGTCGCTACCAGTTAACTGACTACCATGTCTGTTACGCTGTTGCATTGTGTAATATTCAGTGAATTAATTGGGTAGTGCTCCTTTAGGCTGGTCAAAACTTTGCTCTGACAAAGCAAGGATAAAAAAGTATCCATATGTCGGCAACTACTGCATAGAGGAATTTGAAATTTTGCTTCCAGGCGGTCGGCTTTGCAGTACGTAAAATGAGCTAATCAGTGCTTTACAAAACTCTTAATCTGTGGCAGAATGGGGAGAAACGGAACTGCCCGCACTGTTTTATAGAGTAATACCCGTACTGATGTATCTACACGGAGGCCACATCCAATGTATCGAAATCTTACCAACAGGGTACAGGACCCACCGTCTTTCGGGATAAGCTGCTGCAACTAAAAAAAAAACACCCAGTCCGTTCAGAATGAGGGGTAAATTGCCACCAAAACGCGTTTTTAAGACCCTTAGCGAACACCAAACTGGTTTAAGCAGGTTAGAATACCAGACGGTCGCCAAGGAATCCATTGTGAACTGCAAAACATCGTCGTCTGTTTAACTAATGAATTTTGGACCATGGTCGTTTCTGGGCAGAACACTGAAACTGCGTTTTTTAATTGAGGTCAGATTTCACCTGTACCGCTCAACATGTCAAATCAGAGTTTACAGACATTCAGATGAGGCCTATGGCGAAGCGTGTGTCCCGTCTTTAGTGACTAAAGAACACTGAAACTGCGTTTTTTAATTGAGGTCAGATTTTACCTGTACCGCTCAACATGTCAAATCAGAGTTTACAGACATTCAGATGAGGCCTATGGCGAAGCGTGTGTCCCGTCTTTAGTGACTAGGGTCATTGACAGCGTCAGTATTTGGAGTGGATACCACATTGGTGCCAAAACATCAGTGGTATAGTAGTCATGGATGGAAATNAGGGTCATTGACAGCGTCAGTATTTGGAGTGGATACCACATTGGTGCCAAAACATCAGTGGTATAGTAGTCATGGATGGAAATCGGAACCAGATCAAATAAAGGAATAATCTGGGATGAACTTGACCATCATTTGATTAAGGGTACCTTAGGAACAATTTAAGGTTGCACAGTGAGATTGCCGATTCACAAACGGCAATCTTAATAGCAGATAACTTACAGAACCAAGGGAATGAGCAACTACCTTTGTCATCAAAGTCGCCATATTTGAACCACATAGATAATATAAAGAAGGCCATTACTCGCCTAATCAACGGCCTCCATATCCTACAACAAAACTGGGCCAAATTGGACAGGTTTTTACCGACTCCTGCAATGTTCAGTCCACGGTGAAAAGTAAGTGAAAGGTCAATTTCAAGGTCACAGTTAAATTCCCAGTATATGACTTCCTATTCAACTCACATTGTAACTATGGTTAAAATTCATAAAATGGGAGGTGCTCAGAAATTCCAGATGTTTGATTTTCATGAAATAATGTCATTTTTGACCAGAAGTTGTCAGCCTCGCTATGTCTTATGTTATCTTTTCCAGGCGTTCGAAATTTCATCATATTACCGTATTGCACATTAAATTTTTATTTTCACCACCACAATGTTTTTTTATACTGTATAACTCGTGAACCGTATGGAAAACAAAGAATGGACACTTTCAGTGTTGGGCTTGAAACGCTCTATCAAATGCAAAAATCAAGAGATCTCTTGCATTAACGGTTCCAGAATTATAGAGAGTTTCGGCATCTAATGACCGCTGCTCCCGTGAAAATGCACCGATTGACCCCTAATGATAACAAATGCCAATAATGTTATAGGCTAGCTCTGTGTAGTTTCTGAAAATCGGCACAAATGTTTTTTTTTGTTTGTTTGTTTGTTTGTTTGTTTGTTTTTGCAAAAAATACCCTTTTTTAGAAAATGTTGGTCCGTTTCACCTTCAAATAAAGGTAAAAGGTCAAATCCAAGGGCATTTTTGAAAATTCCACAGATCTTTTTGTTGAGGAGGACAAGCCGTAATGATGACGTGGAAACGAAGTCGGCGGACCCAATGGAGAAGTAGCCGGCGGACGAGACGGGCATGACCATGTGCACCGCTGGTGGTGCAATTAAGTGAGACGTTCTCTTTACCTGATTCTGCGCCATCTGATGCTGGTACTCGTGATTGGCTTGATGTCGGAGGGACTGAAACATACAGGTAAAATATGTAAGGTTCACAAATTCACGGTTAGGAAGAGAAACAGATATGGCTATGTACCCACTGTTGAAATGTAGTTTTGTCTTCTGAACAATTAATTAACCTTAAGAAAAGCAAAGCAATTATGAAACGATTTTGTAGTTTTGCAATCACTCTGCCTGGGGATAATGAATTAGATAACTTGCACCAAATATTTCATCGGTCACAATGCCATAACATGTCCTAGCTGGTCAACTAGCATTTATTAATGAAATGCCATTCTATCCCACAAAACCACTCGGCTGTTTTGAGGTAAACAAAAATATGGTTTGACCAGAAAAAACACACACATATCCATAAGTTGTTTTAAAATGATCAATCATGCCGATTTTCATAAGGCAACCACTCAATGAAACCAGCCGCGGACAGACACGCTGATTAGAAAATGTACAGACTCATAGTGTCTTTATATAAAAGGACTCAAATTTGTTAAAATAGCATAGTTAAACATATGACAGATACTAAAACGAAATGAAAATAATAGAAAAATTACACATATTCAAATGTAGTAACATCGTCATCTACATAAACACATGGATGCGAGGGGACATTTTGGTAATATTATATTGCAAAATCCATGAAAGGGAATCATACTGATGCATCTGCAATGTGATTTGTGTTATTGTCAAGCCATTGTACGTCGATTAAACGACTTCATAGTATCTTACATCGTTCATCATAATCATCCATACAGCCACGAAAGGATTGTGTGTCAGGCATCTTGAAATTTTTGCTCCGTACAATATTTATAAGTGTATCAATTGCAGTGTCTCTGAAGGTTTTCAGCGACGAATCCATCTTCGTGGCCTCAATTATGCATTTCCCAAGTGGAAATTTGCAATCTCTGCAATTTTCCATCTTCTTTGCTTCCAAAGTACGCACTGCCATATCTACTATTAAAAAGCGGAAAACAAAATATAAGTGGACTTTTGTATACTAATATTTGTTCAACACATAGAATAAATGTCTATTTTGACGTTTTTAGTTAATATAAGTATTTTTAATAAAACTTATTTAGCTGGATAAAATGTTATTATCTGATTCTGGTAAGGATGAATGTACCTCTTCTTGAAAAACTGATTGAACTGGAAATTAACATTTTAAGATATCTTAACTTGGTGGGTTATTTCAATAGTGTCTAAATATAAAGCTGACATATGAAATGAACCGTTGATGAACACATAAACTTTTACATGGCATTAACACTGATTCGATACCCTGTTCTGATATGTTTGAAGCTGCTTGTACTTCTGATTTTTTTGCGTTCTTGTCTTTAACTGAAAATACACGGAATATGCACGGTTTATAAGTCAACTGCAAGACAATGAGACAGTTACTTCTATATATAAACCTGGCAAGAGAAATTGAATATTTAGTACTGATAAAAACATAAATTTCAAAATGAATAAAAAACGTTAAAAGACACTGTCGTTTAGTCATTACATATTAGATAAATTGCAGTTCACATTTCTAGAGTTAAAATCATAACTTAACATGGCTGGTCAATCTCTCTCTCTCTCTCTCTCCCAGTAAGTATCCTTACATAGTATGGCTATGTTTATGAATGTATCTTTTATCCATCTTTCTAAATCTTGTTTTGAAAATAAACCGTTGCGTTTAAGATTTTCCATTAGTGTCCCGTCTAAAACAAACTGTCCCAACGTTATGATATCATTGTGAGCAACGTCTGAAAGAAATACAAACACATGTTTAAATCTTGTGTTAGGCAGACAAAATTATACATGCATAACAGTATTTATGTATTTCTTAATACATACAAAATTTACAATAAAACTGGCATATACAAGGAACTGCAAAAGCAACACATAAATACAGTGATATATACAAATATCAAAAATATACAAAAGAAGCATTATACTCGCAAGAGTTTAGGCGTTAAAAACAAAATAGTATACATGTATATTAATGGATCTGATGTGAGAATGCGTTTCTACAGTCAAATGACTATGCACGATTAACAAAATTTAATACACACGATCATTCGTTAAGATGTTGGGTACCTACCTTTAGGCATGAATTTAAATGGAAATGTGTATTTTTCTGGAAAAGAATAAATTTCCGTTAATATATAAAGCACTGAAAACAATTTACGCCTTTAACGCATTTCAATGCACAGCTTTTTCTGATGTCATGCAGGACTGCAAAACATTGATAAAAATTCTCTCACAGATATATGTATGCTGAAAAATTTTTTATGATTATTTAAAACCTGCATTGATGAAACATGGAGTCGACAAATAAAGGTGTGAACTTTAGCTTAGTTATAATTTTTCGATCAAAAAGACGAAATAAAATGAAATTGAAAAAAATTGATTACGTTGTTGTTATTTGAGAGAGGAAGAGAAGAAAAGAAAGTAAATGGAATACCATTAAAACAACAAGACACTGCTTGTACGTCAAAAGAACGCACGCACATGAACCAATGCAACGTTCGTTGTTGCGTAGAGCAGTGGAAATATATAATGACAAATATACTGCATAAGTTTCAATGATGTGTATATGTGTATGTTTCTGCGCCAACTTTGTTTAACTAAATTAGAGTTCATAAACATTTACTTACTGTAACGCCGAGAGAAGTAAATCCATGGGATGCACCACACAACAAAACCTGAAAAAGACAACATATAAAATAGACTAAATAGTGCTTTTAAAGCCGACTGTTTGCTTTAATAACTAACTGTTATTTAAGTACATGTAAATTACAAGTATGAATGTTGCGATTAGGAAAATTTCATATCTAAACCATTTACAAAATTAAATGGGTAATATTTTTCAATCTTTTGGATAATAGTACTGGGATATTTGCAACCATTTTTCATAGATATAATGCAAATGTATTTTCAAAGGAAGTTCCACGTGCTATTTCACAATGAAAACTTACAGACACCAAAACTAATACCAATCCCAATGCCAATCCCATCCCAAAGTTTGTTGCCAGTAGGTTCGCTGAAGAGCAAAAAGTAATTTTGTGATCAAGTGTGATAACAAAGTCTATCGATATTTGATAAATCCGATAAGAAATAAATGCTACGATTACACCGACTCTCAAAAATAAGTAGGCCTATAGCAGTTAAGGAAATATACATGGTTAAGACAGAATGATCCAAGTTATCGATTATACATCACAAATTTTTCGTTTGTTCTTAATTTATAATAATGAAATATCTTATGGGCTTTGTGTGCAATGAATATTATCTTCTACAGAAATAAAACTAAATTCATTTCCTTTAGCAAAGGTCCCATGTCCAGTATGTGACATTATATATTTGCATTTTCAGGACAAAAAAAAACCAATGACGGTTTCATAGTTTTTGGCCCATTATCAATGAAGAAGGCCTAGGGGCCGAAAGGATTACATATAACATCTGTAAAGTAGGTCTTCAGAGATGCATCATTAATATAACTTAGGAACTAGGGTGTAAACGATAATCTGCACGGGTGCCAGCGTTTGGATCTAATTGTTTTGTGTGGAGGATATGACCCCCTAATCAAGGTGTTCCATTAAACGAAGGCATTATATTTCGTTTCTTTGCTGGTGTAGTTAGATGTCAACCTTTCAAAAGAATTCTCTGGCGCCAGATTGTAGTACTTGTTGCTGTGATTAAATCGATGTTAACACGATGTTGTTAGTGTTTCAGGTTTGTGATATCTGTTGGAAATCGATATTATTTTTTCGCCCCAAAATGCTGTTTGAGTAAACAAATTCATCCCAATGTATTTATGATGCGAATGCATCAGCTCATGAAAAAATAACCTTTATTTCCGCATTATCCAAGCAGACAAGGAAAAATTCTAACGTATCGATCTACCTTAATAGGCCAAAATAACAATAAGGATAACAGTAGCGTTGACTTATCGTATTCTCACGTTCAAAAATGTCTATACCCTGCTGTGGATAGACTTTGCTTTTTTTTCTTTGAGAGAGACGTCGCGAAATCACATTTTATAGCAAGATCATATATTGCAATTGCAAACATGACAAAATTGCCGACATTGTGTGTGAATGATTAACGTTATCTGCATATGTTATGACGTCGACGTACGGTTTTTGCACATTTTACTTTGGGCTGTGGCCCATGCACAGTATAAAAAGTGTACATCCATGTGTGTGCATATACAGACTTGACATTTAATATGGAATATATCAGTTTCGAGGGTACGCCTAGGTAGAAATGCGTTCTTTTTTAAAAAAACTCCGATCTCATATAAAATATGTGAATGGAGAAGGGTGAAGTCATGTGTGTCGCTTCCAATTAACTGAGTACCAGGTTTGTTGCGCTGCTCCATTATGTAATATGCAGTAATTTAATTGGGTAGTGCTCCTTTGGGCAGGTCAAAGCTTGGCTTTGGCTAAGCATGGTTCCGTCCAAAAAGTATCCATATGTCGGCGACTTCTGCATAGAAGAATTTGAAATTTTGCATGCAGGTGGTCGGTTTAG